AATTTTTTTATCACTGATACTTTTTATTCGATGAAGCAATGCCGAGGGCTACTTTTACTTCAAAACAGATCGCTATATATATTTTACACAATGTCACTACTGCTTGACATCAGGCTGCTCGAGTCAAGTATCGAATCTGGAACCTCTGATTCAAAGTCCATAGCTCTAGTCGATGAACAAGCCCAATTATGTTTTAATAAAAATTTAAAACTGTCACTGTCAGAAAAAGTACAGTTGTGCAGTTTTTTCGTTTAGTTCGCACGGAGATAACATAACAAGGTAATGAAACTACTTTTTTGATTGGCCATTAAATGTCATTAAAATTGTCGTATTATTTAAAAACAAATATTTAAGATTTTTCGAGTAGAATTTCTTTGCTAACGTTTTCGTGTAACCATTTACTGACATATTTTCAAAGAGAAAAAAATACACTCTTTGTAAAACCAGTCCAATGTCGTGCAATATTTTTAATGCATTTTACCCGTATTAATATTAATGTCCATGTCATGGAACACGCTATATATATAGATAATCAAAATATGAGTGCATTTTACCGGTTTTAAAGATTTTACTAATAATCAAGATTATCAAGAAGTTTGAGAATTATTTTAATCACAATCATTAGCCGATGATGTGCATAAACAATCATTTCAATATAACTAATAGTAAAGTAAATTAGTTTTTTTAATATAATAAAAGATGTTGATTGCAATATTAGAAAACAAATTCTAATTACGATTATGGAATATACAAGGTACGGAAGAATTCGATAAATCAGACAAAATTTTCATAGTCTTCACCTTATGGCCGACAAACTTTCCATCAAATTGAGTCGATAAGATCCAATTTATTTATTCACTATATAACCATAAACAAAAAAAGTATATAATCTATATACTGACAATGAGTATCTTAAATATACAAAGTACAACAAAATAATTTCTCTCCAAAGCATTTTCTTAATTAACTTCAATTAGCCTTATTTTAAGAATAAATATCCGAAAACCGAATCTTTTTTATTTTAAGAGGAAAAGATGATCAGACGAGAAAAACATTACAATGGGATTACGCAATTCGAACACAATATCAAGCGAAGATATTCTATATTTATGTATTTGACTCATTTGAGTTAGTATAACTGAATAGCACATTATATAAAAAATGTACCGTTTAACATTTAAACGGTATCCTATATCCGTAAAAACTCGGCAAAAAATATCATCTGAATGACAAAAATTACTCCAGGCTGGAATTGCATTGCGGAAAGAATGAATAATATATAACAGGAAAATGTAACCACAAATGCATCACTAGAAATGTCTTATTATTATTTGTTTGCGCTTGTACAATAAGCAAAACAACTTGCTTTAATACATCTCTGTAGAAACATGTAAATATGAAACGTACAGCAAAATAATTGAAAAGTAAATTTAAGAAAAGTTTCACTTCGTGGTAATTAGCACAAAATATATACACATATTTTAGGATTTGACTTCTGTTTACCGTAGCAGATAACATTCCAAAATGTGGAAATTAAAAATGTTCTCAATGTACGCTTAAACCGCAAACAATAAAAATATAATATTAAAATGTAGTCTTTGGGCCATTTAACGGAAATGTAAGATAGCCCATGGCACATGTGTAGCACGAGCTGATCGCCAAACCTAACGTTAAAATTCCTATTAAGTGGTTCTGCAATCGATGTTTTTTTGCCAGCTAACGGAATAAACGTGGCCCAAATTGATATATTATCATCATTGATTTGATTCTTATATATCGCAGAGATCGATCAGGAACACAATTGTGGCCGAATATACATATTCAATTATATGTAGATACAAAAAAAATCCAGAAGTATCAGTCATTAATGTATAATAAATGCCATGCGTTTCTTGGTTTGATATTACTTTCATCAAAATTATTTTTTCCTTGTTACACACATAAGGTAATTTTCGTATTACTATTTTTGTATTAGTCATCCGAATGGTAGTATTTGCAATAACTAATTTGTGTATTACAAATTGTAAGACCTCAAGTTAAGACAAAAATAGTCCGAAATCAAAATTGCACTGAAACAGAACTTTTCAAAACAACCTTCGAGTTTTTCGTTAGTATCAATATTTTAAAATAATTATTATTGTTCTTATAAGGTTGCTGTAAAGGTACACTATCATTTTTATATTTTAAATATGAAAAAAATCTTATAACTACTAGCCAACAATAGTACTTTTAACTTTCTATAATTAATTAATTATCATTAATTCATTTTCAAAGTATTATTTTTTCCCCAAATAAAAATATTTTATTCAAATTGATATTATGAAATTTTAAATTAAAACACATAATCAATTAATTAATTAATTAATATGAATTTTGCTATATATTACATACAAATAAAAACGATGAAGAGTAATGAAGAGCAGAGCCATATTTTGGGAAGGTTCATAATGACACGTTTTGAACCTGTAATTGGGCTTGTTTTTCAAGATATAAAATACTGTAATAACACACATGATTCAAAATTATGTGGTAAATATTACTACAAATGCAAAACAGACTACAAAAGCCATGGAAAGGAAAAAAAACAAAACTAAAATCGCAAAGGATAATTTGACCTTTGAAAGGATATTAAATGAAGTTATGATAGTTTGTCATTACAAAAATATTATAAAGTCGAAGTAACAAAATTTCTTTTTTAATCTAGTATAGTAGTATTTAAATGATAAGTCCTGGATTTTCACAGAACTGCATTACAGACAGTTACCAAGTCAAAAAATGTCAAATATACATATTAGTTGCCAGTGCTTTTGACAAAAAATTAGTGATATAGATTTATAGATCAATATTCTAAGTAAATAATTTTTGCTTCTCAATTTTATATTTTTTGTACTTTTCTACACATCTTCCTTCTTTTTTTACTTTCTTTTGATACATAATCCATTTTCTTTATTAAATTTTTTCTCAATTTTGTAATCATCATCATTAATATTGTTAGTCTATATAAAAAATATTTTTGACAGAAAAACCTGATGATGGAACGTATCTAGCTTCGAAGTGTCGTATTTATACATTTCCAAAAAACCAATTGTTTTTTAACTTTCCGTAGGATAAGTTATTGTAATCGTCTAAAAATCGAAATTGAAAATTTTTACATTTATTCACGTTTTGAAGATTTCTGAACATTTTGGCATACCTCAGAAAAAATGGATGTGTGTGTGTATGTATATATGGATACAAATTTTCGTCAATGGTGCAAAACAACATTCGATTCCTATTGATAGGAAAATGTGCTGATTAGTTTTTAGCAAAGGCAGGTCCAGCTGTTTCGGAGATACAGAGCAAAGAGTGTAGAAAATAGAAATCGAGTTTTTGAGAGAACGAAGCGTCCGATTTGAATGATCTAAAAAACATTCAATTCGTATTGACGGGGAAAAGTGGTGACTAGATCTTGGCAAAGACAAGTCCAGCCGTTTCAAAGATACCGAGCTAAATGTGCAAAAAATTGCAGTTTTTGAAAGAACTAAGCATCCGATTTGAATGATTCTAAAAACTTTCTGCTTGTTTTGACAAAATAATTGCTTTTGAAAAAAAAATATTTTTTTGTTTCAAAAATAATCCAGATTTTAATTTTGATTTTGGCTAAAGTTCTAAAGCTCACTTATATACTTTAGATATATAATTTTAAATTTGCAATTCAGTTTATATAATTCTTATAAATATTAGACAATGCTACAGTATTTATAATAATCTATATGAAAACATTTAATATTTCTCGAACTTTCGTTACGGTACGAAAAGTTCCAGCAATTTGGCACGATGCCATACACAACTAGTTATTTCTTTGATTAATTGATTTAAAAACACTTTCACATACATACACACACATACACATACACACACACATATATATATATATATATATATATATATATCCGTGTGTGTTAATTTATAATATGCATAAATTTATGTATACATTTATGATAAATATATACGAAATATTCGAAATCAATTCTTCAAATAAATTTTTACGACGGTTTGAGAAGCCGCCTATTGACAGTTCTAGTTACAGTTATACTGGACAGACCATTCCTGCGGCAACGCTATATATTTTAACGTACAAATCGATAAAAAAATAGAAAAAATATATAAAATGGATTATATGGATTATTGGATATTATTATAAATATACAAATCTCGCACGAAATCGTAGTAATAGTAATAATATATATCACTAAAACAAAATTATTGGGATGGCTTAATTAGAGACAGCAACTCTTGAATAAAGTCCGATATTCGCAATTTTTGAAGGACGCCAAAATCTAATAAAAATATTATATGTAGGACAATAATGAGATAGAACAAAATAATATCAAATGAAGAGAAAAAAATCCATATATAATCGGCTGAAGTAAACTATTTGATGAGCTCAAAAATTCATTATGAAAATTAAAATTCATACTATACTATATAATACATACTATATAATAATAATATATCATTAGTATAGAATTTTTGCATTATTTTTATTATCATATATTACAATTAATTCCAATCCACTATAGTTCATTATGTAATTTCAACGATTGTATTGATATCAATTAGGTAGGTGTACAATTAGCTATTAATATTTTGTCTTTATAATATATATATATATATATATATATATATATATATATATTTATATATCATTAGACCGATAGTCGCGTCAATTAACGAAAATCTACAACATTTAAATTTTTAATGTTTTAACATTTTAATCAATATTATATAGTAATGATATTAATAATATTAACATTAATAATAATAATATTATATTATATTATATATATATATATCCACAATAATAGAAATTAATTAATCCCAATTTGATACGGAATTATTAAAATATTTATTTATTAATAGCAAAATATTTTGTAAATAGTGATACGTAAATACATAATTAATCTTGTTCAAATATTTTTTTAATATACTAAAATAATATGAAAAAATAAAAAACTTACCGCTTTGGGCATCTTCTATTCCGGAACATATTATCCATCATTTATATAAATTCTACACAATTTTCACAACCGATTAGGATGTAAAATTGATCACTGATTTAATTCATAAAACTGTCCACAAATTTGATTTAATATTAAATAAACATCATCAAATTTAACTGAATTTATCCACTCACGAAGACAATGTGTACGAAGGCGCATGCAGCCAAGTTGCTGAAGTTGAACTGATTGTAGGCCTGTAAAGTCGGTCGCGTGAATTGCCTGCCATTCCTGTTTTAACCGTTTCATGCACTATGATAGTCGCATTGTTTTTATTTAAAGCACATAAACAGTAGTGAATTTGTTTTCATTTACCGACATAAACAATTGCACTTGCAAATACACACCATTTAACCACACACACACACTCACATTATAAATATATATATATATATATATATATATATACTAGGCTAATATCAATTTGGTTTACACTGCAATTAAAAAAAAATTAAACCTCCATCATTTACAACATATTAATTGACATTAGCCTATAATTCTAGTTCAACAATTGTTTTGCTATAGCACCTCCTATAGATTTCATGTTACTAACATTTCTGTCAATATCCTACCAAAGAATGCCAAATTTGTTGGCATTGATATCGAATAATATCGATATCAATCATAAAGCACTTGATTTAAAAATATCGTGATTTTATAAAATTTCCATCTATATATGAAAAGATTTAATATATTACGAGTAACTTGTTATATCTTACATGCTGTATATTTCGCAATATAATAAAACTTATAATTTTGAAAAGAAAATAAATGGAATTATTATATTTTAACGGATTACTTAATTACTTAGTCTATCCGATTAATGATTCAATTACCTTTTGAAATATTAGAATTAAAAAATTTGCTAATTTACTTGGAATATGGATGGAATCACCGTTTCGGGAACAGATTATATGAACAAAATATGAAACTATGTAACTATGTATATATTAGGTTGTCAAATATCTCCTTTCCGCTTTTTTGCTATTGGTTTATAATACAAAAAGGCGGAAGGGAGATATTTGACAACCTTATACATTAATAACACTGATCACTAGTATTCTGTATAATAATCATGGAAAAACAAACTAAACCACACATTGTTTACCGATGTATGTTTGGCGAAAAAATCATTATTCAAAATTTTATATTTTTGTAATATCGTAATGATAATAAAATTAATAATTTTGATTAACTGATAAATTTGTATATATATATATATATATATATATATAATATAATATACAATAAATTTATGTAATGTTTTTTTTAGATTATTGAATGATGACACACATTAAGTGTCGAAATGTTTAATAGAATAAAGAATTTGTCTATTTTACCGTTTATATATATATATATATATATATATATATATATATATATATATATATATATATATATATATATAATTTGTTATATAATCTTGACTTGATGTTGATATAATATATATTAGTTAGGTTTAAAGATGCGGTACAAAAATCGTTTGATTTTTTTATATATTTATTTTAAATCCATACGTATCGACTATTAACATCCTAGCTTTCATTCAGTGGAATATGATGTTAAATAATTATATTAATTAAGCATTTGGAATTAATTATGGGTACCAAAAATAAAATTCCACTGAATAAAGCTTAGATGTTAGCCGAAACATATGGGTTTTAAAGAAATTTAAAAAAATCATACAGTTTTTCATTGATGTAATGTTCGATCTTCAAACTTAACTCTCTCTCTCTCTCTCTATATATATATATATATATATATATATATATATAAATATATATATATATATATATACTAGCTGACCCGACAAACGTTGTACTGTACCCACGTCTACAGTTCAAAAATACTAATTATTTTTAGTATCCTATACTAATATTTGCTTTTTATATAAAATTAATTAGATTTTTATATGGTAGTCCATACAGAAATATATTGTGTATATCTATATGAGTGATGTTAAATGTAAAACTGTGTAAAGGTACAAAAGTATTGTTTATTGACTTGTTGTGAATTAAAAGTTGTAATACATTACATTTTAAATTCACTTAATGAATAATGGAAATTTATCACTATCACTTATCCTTATTTCGACCTCTTTCCTCCTTGAAAAATATATTTTGTATTCTCTGGTGTGACATCATCCTATTCTTCACCAAGTGATGTACGAGCTAACACTACTTGAGGTCCATCTGTATTCGAGTTATCGAATTCGCACTTTTTCAAGACAAATATTTATAGCCGGTAGACGAATCGATGGCAACAGATAAAACACTAGTGATTTTCTACCATACTAAAAGGTGTGTAAAATGTATAACTTCATGTATTACAAGTTTTTGTCTCCTATTTTAACAGCAATTCATACTTTACGTTCTAATAGCTGTTGGGTTGAAACTTCTCCTTACCTAAAATATATAGATCAGTGATTCCTAACGTGGGACTTGTTTACTTATCTATGGGGCGCACTCTTTACCGGGGAGCAATTTGTAAATTCAGAGGGGCAATTTATAAATTATGATGATTTGAATGTAATATAATATAGTATCGATAAACTATTTAACAAAAAATGCTTCTTAGATCCAACTGAGGTGTCCCGATTTGGACGGGTTGTTATGTTTTTTTCCCGGATTAACCTGACTTTTTAAAAAGTTTAGTTTGAATTTGAATTTTCCTCATTATTTTTAGAGTAAAATTACAACTTTCCGTCATAATCTAAAAATGATATATGCGATTCTGAAAGAGAATGTTACGGAATGCAAAAATTCTAAGGATCCAAATAGCCGTTTACTAATTATTCTAAACTTTCATTTTCAAATTTACGAAAACTACCAAAAAATTTGGTAAACAAAGTTTCTGGCAGCTTTATAAAGAAATTGAAACCAAATGCCCAAATGTAACCATATGTAAAATATTTTGCTATAATTTATTGATAAAAAAATTGACTTATTGTCATAGTATTGGATATAGCACAACGTGGAGACTTGAGTTTAAAGCTCAGTAAGTTAGAATATAAAATCTTGGTGCAGCATGTAAGCTTAAGAATCGCATTAAATAAATTTCTCGTTTTTTACCTTATTCCAAAATTTTACTTATGATGTTTAATAACAATTTAACAGTGCTTTTATCTTGAAAGTTATCATTAACATTTGTACAGGAACAAAAAAAATTGTATGGGGGGGGCATAACGTTTTAAGAAACCTCATGGTGGGGCGGGGCCCAAGAAAGGTTGGGAATCACTGATTAAGATGGTAACCCAACGGTTGATCTATTGATATTTGATTACATTATCATTCGAATTTTTCTTATAGGGCTGACTATCAATCAATTTGGTGCAACAATACCCGGGAAAGGCTGTTTTTACTAGGTAACATATTTATGATCTATATTTGCAAGTGAAAATTTATATCGCTACTGCATGAAATAGAAATGCAGCAAAATGTTGCATAAATGGCTGGGCGACTTTGAAATGGTCGATACCAAGACAATAAATAGCAATATTTGTAAACGGCGCTATTAGCAAAATAGCCTTACTGTATCAAAAAATCAAATTCTTTATTTTAATTCAGGTTTATGTTATTTGATAAATTTAAAGTTTATCAATATTATTAAAAATATAACTTTAGTGAGCAAGCTTACATATTTCCGTTTGTTTTGATGTTTGATCAGAACATTTTGCTGGAAAGCAAAAACATTAAATTTAGTAGGCAATAATTTATTTCAACAGTTATACAAGCAAAAAATATATGATTGAAATAACAAAATTTGTGACACATGAATACTTCTGAATAAAATATTGTCTTCGTGTATAGGGATTGTTCAACAAATAAATGCATTTTTTTTTAAATTTTGTATGTCTAAAAAAGTTACTTCTCATACCGCATCAATTTATTATCGCATACCTTTCGTTGTGATTGTGTTTCGTTTTTCAGCATTTTTAAAATTAACGAAATATCATAAAGCAGTTTTTAAGTAAATAAGAAAAATGTTCCTCAGATTGGAAAAAGCGCTGATATAATTTATCGCTAATTCAACAATCGCTTTTAAGATAAAATTAATAATATTTTGTAAATTTTAATAGTTGCACTTATTTGTGGAACATACGCTTACACCAACATTTGTGAAAATAATTTGGTGCATATTGTAATTTTGATATAAAAAATAAATTATATTGTAGGATTAGAAGAATCTAGATCTTATTTTTAACAAATACAAGCTAATAGTTGCATGCTAATTAATAATTGTAAATGTAATATTATTAATTATAACATATAAATAAAAACGTTGGCACATGTAAGATTCATAACATATTGCATAGCAATACATAAATATAATATCAAGTTAGGTATTTATTGTTCATTCAACTTTATAAAAATATATATTAAAACGCTCTTTGTTTAGGATAATATTTTGAGACAGCAATATGATATATATATATATATATATATATATATATATATATATATATATATCAAGCCACTAATAACCACAAACGCATGAAAGATAAGATAGGTCTTTCATAAATTTGTAATACTAAATTTTTTAGGTATTTCAGAGAAAAAAGATATCAATGATGCACCAAGTTTAACAAAACATTACGAAGTTATTTGGAATAAATCCGAAATATTTTTCTAACCACGATAAATCATCAAAACTTTTACTTTATCGAAAAGTTCAGTGTGGCGAGACTATGACATAAATCATTTAAATAATTAACATATTTTCTTTTTATTATAAAATAGTTTATAAAAATAATTATGATAGGGCATATTTATCTGTAAATTTCTTATATTATAATTTTTTAATAACACTACCTAAAAAAATCTACGCGTACGCGCGTTATTAAATAGTATCAATAATATAATCAACCATGAAATTCTCCAGCAAAGGTAAACTTCATATGATATAATTTGCAATTCAATTGAACGAATAATAAATAAATATGCAATAAGATAGAAAAATATATTTTGAACACTAAAGCTGCAGTTTCTAATTATATTAATGTGACTACGATAATAAAAACTATATATTTTATTAAGCAACGCTTTGGCTATATGATTTTAATGTGGTCATTTCGTAAGCTTAAACCACTATTACATTTTTTTTTAATATTATATATTATTAATATAAAAATATGCATTTTAAGTAGAACTTCATATAGAAAAATCCCAATGGTGGTGCAATTAACTGAAACTTATAATTTTATAGTTGAAAATTCTATATGATTTATCAGTTTTCAAAATAAAATTTAAATTCGAACACTGAATGGACGGATTATGATAAACGTTAAAAATGTTATGCTTGAATGCTATATCTCGTAGAAATATAGTGAAATGTAAAAATAAATGAATGGATGGTATTAATTTGTTGTTATTAAATTCGCATACTGCATTTATATACATTTTATAATGCGTCAATCTTTGTAATATAATTGAAACTTTACATGATAGTACAAGGCAATCCGCAACACAGTGGCAGGCAAATGGGCACTGCAACTTTCTTCGGATCATCTTTTGATCTTGACTTAGACTTACCATGACCCTGCTTATGACGGTTACTTGATTCCCAGTTTTCCTGCTGAAAATTATAATAACTATTATATTCCAATCCGCAAAATATATTATTTGTGATGGCTTACTGTACTATTACTTCCATGATCCAATTAATTAAATACTACTTATATTAGACTAAATCAAGTTCTGGATTAATAGTACGAAGTAGTTGTTACTAAAATTACCATAAATCTTATATATTCCCCGACAAAAATTTAATTATACGAGGTGTGTTCAAAAAGTACCCGGAATTACTAATAATTAAATTTCGCGGGTCTGGAGTGTCTGATTGTCAAAATTTTTTTTTTATTGTGTTGGTATACATGCCCCTAAAGTATGATGAAATTTTCAGCTATATTCACTGTTTACTTTGTCTGTGGTAGTCGCTAAGGTTCGACGTGTTTTTCTGAGCTCGGCGATTTTTACAATGGAAGAATTGAAAAGTCAAAGAATTTGTATTAAATTTTGCGTAAAAAATGAAATAAAGTGTTGCAAAGTGCAAAAATTCACCAGATATGGCTCCGTGTGACTTTTTCCTATTCCCAAAGTTGAAGAGACCCATGAAAGGACGGCGGTTTTCCTCGATTGAAGAAAATCGCTGAGAGTGCTCAAGGACATATCAAAAAGTGAATATCAAGGGTGCTTCGAAAATTGGAAAAAACGCTGGCATAAGTGTATTATATCTGGGGGGACTACTTTGAAGGGGACCACATTAATGTAGACGAATAAATAAATATTTTTTTGAAAAAACGAAAATTCCGGGTACTTTTTGAACAGACCTCGTATATTTTAAATCCAACTTCATACTCAAGTCTTGCAGAAGATTGCATAGATTAAAAGCTTAGATAAAATTGGGTGTGAACAAAATTTCTTATTCTACGCAGTAGTTTTGGATAGTCATATTAAACAGTCATTTTAAACATAAAAATAATTTTTTTTTATTCAATATACAAATATTATATTTAATTTTATATATTTATGAATAGATCAACATTTGAGTTATCATCTAAAAATACGACGTAAGGAGAAGTTTCAGCCCAAATACTTATAGGACGCAAGATTCTGAGTGCCGTTAAAATATGAAAATAAAAATAAAATAAAATAAAATCATATTTAATATCAAAAAGATAAAATGAATGCAATTGAAGCTAAAATAAAACTAGTTGGTATTGGTATTTTGCCTTGAGGCAAGTTACATAAACTTCCCGATATGTTTAAATAATCGACTTAATCAATAAAAAATTAATTAATTTATGAGTGATTAAAAGTATTCCGAGTAGATTTATTACCCATCATTGAAAAAGAATGAACACGTTAACTCGGAGTATTCTCTAAAAGCAAATTTTCAAAAATCAACTATTTGTATAATTGAACCAGTTTCCGTAGGACTTTAATGGTTTAGTATGTTCATTAAGACCGAGTACTCTATTGTTATATCAAGTAAATCGTCTAATTTTAATTTTAAAAAACGTCAAAAAAACTACTCATTATCTCAAACTTTGATGAATTTTTAAAATTAAACTACTTGTCGTAAGGCCGTAATATTTCAGTAAGACCATGATATATATCGCCAAAAAATGTTCCATAAAAGTTGACTTAAATTTTTTTTTCAACAGTTAATAACAAGAAAACGGCTCGGTGGATTTTCACCTAAAACTAATCAGTATCATTCCCAACTAATATCTTTCGATCAGTTTTTGAATTATTAAAATCGATTCGGTAGTATGAGCTTAAATGTGGACGAAAAGTTTAACACTTTTTGCCAAATTACAAAGGCTTGGCAGATTGTCGCACAAAACTGACAAACGATAGTCCTCATTGAAATTCATCAACTGACTTTTAAATTTTTGAAATCGGTCCAGCCGTTTTTGAGAAAACGTCGATTTACGGCAAAAAATCTGTTCACAAACACACACACATACACAGACATATACTTTTCGCAAATTTGGTCTCATTCGATTGAGAATGGCTTGAAACGTCGAGAAAACATAAAATTAGCGAATCTGATTTTTTGATGAAAACATAAACTTCTCCTTTGGGAAGTTAATTAAGTACATTTGAATAATGTTTGTTTGCTGAAGCTGATGACGATATTCGGGAATATGTATGAATAATAAAAGTTAATCGAATTTAAAATATCATACCATTCCAGCGTTGGAATAATTAGCACCAGTTCCAAGATTTGCTTGATCTCTGCGTGAATTTATTTCATAGTTAGGTGGATAATAGACTGGAGATCCCACGATGTTATGACTTCGGTTACCAGCCATGCCTGAACCGGCTTGACCGCCAGCACTGAATTTAACACGAAACATTAATAAAACATATCATTTGAGATTATTGCAAATTAATTTTAAATTTGTACCTTTGAGTTGTAGATGATGAAACTTTATAATTATAATTGTTTTTGCCATCGACAAAAGATCTGTCGTGAGCTTGTTGAGATTTGTTAGAAGCGTAAGACATCGACATGTCAGAGGTTTTTCCAACATTGTGATTCTGGCCGTACTGCAATATGAATGTATATTACTTTATTTTCTCTAAATATAAAAAATAATTAAAATGTTTTGGTAATTCCACTCATTTCATCATTTAAATGATTCCAATAGCTAAGTGATAGATGCAACTTATTCAAAGCGTACTAAATAAATTAACATATAAATTTTTGTTTGTGCACATACTAACCATTGAACTATCAGATAACGTTTCTATTAACTCATCGACATGTTTAGGAGGTAAGGCTTTATTTGGATCAGTAGATTTTTCATTTGTATTTTTCTCTTGCTTTTTTTTCATTTATATTGAAGTTCCGCTGCTTTCAAATTTTCCATTTCTTTCAAAGTTCCTTGCATTATCTAAAACCATAAAATATATGAACAATAAAAATATATATAATTTGTATTTGTTATTTTTAATTGAGGCTACTAGTGATAGACGTTTATAGGATGTTTTTATCGATGTTAAACGATGTTAAAATATTTTTTTGTCTCGATTGAACATGTAAACCGTTCTGCATAATAACATCATAGCTACTGTCTCGCAGGCCGACGCAATAAACAGAACTGTGCAGATCCGTCATTTTCGATAGGTGATATAAAAATGATAAATTTATAAAATTTCATACTGCGGTATTATTATCGACTAATTTTGAATTTTGAACATCGTATTTCTTTTCAAACTTATCAATCTTTGCTAATATGCAACGATTCTTGTGATTTTAAATCGAATAAATCTTGAAAATGTAAAAAAATCACACCTATGGTAAGTTGAGAAACAAAACTTTGGGGCTAGGTAAGAAAATATTTTGACGGTACCGATGCCGTAATTTCAACATCAAAGTTGACCTACAGCTTAATTCCGACAATTAACAAGAAAGATTGATAGGAAGTTAAATTTATCAATTTCAACTTGCTATTACAATTCTCAACTCTCTATTACTACTGTTGGTTGACCATTTAACGCCGCTGTTTTAAAATTTTGAAGATGAAACCGTTTTCCTACAAATCCAGTAGTATGTTTAAAATACAGCATTTATCTAGCAATTATAATATTTATTATTCTATATTTTTTGTTCAGAATAGTAAATATTATAAAATCAATAGTTGTTATAATTAGGAAGTTACTGAAAATGAATGATCTCAAAAAACTCCAACTTATATTGCACAATAATTGTTTCTTCAAGTTAAAACGGTAAATTAAAATAAAAAACGTATGAATCTCAAACTTTAAATCGTTATTTATAATTATAAGGTTGATAACATCAAATAAAATATAACTGTTTCATCAAATTGATCTCATATAAATAATTAATTATACACTCACCGCCGTCTCCTTGTACTTCATAAGAATAAGAAGTTTCAATAGTCCTAGTTTTTGTTCCAGGTCCCTGAACGGTTGTATGAGTTATTGGAATATTGTACTCAATTCCTTCTCTAGAACTTTCCGAAGACATTTTGTTTGATGCATGAGGAACGTACGAGTCCACTTTATGTTTCGAGACGACAAACGATTTTGTTGTTGATGGCGCGTTTAATGCCGGAGCTCCTGGACCTAAAAAAATCAAAATACAATGTGCTTAGCTTTGCAGGATATCATTGCTCAGTAATATAGTTAAGCACATAATCTTATATTTATGTATATATATATGGAATATATACATATCAATTGCTAGTAAATACTATGAGTTCTAAAAGATAGCCGCTTTGCGTGAGTCGAACTTCAACTATAAGTAACGTTTCAGTGTTATTAACTTCTCGAAGGGTAAGTTATAGTAATCACAAAAAAATCGAAAATGAAATTTTTTATATATTTTTAAGTTGCAGAAGTTTCTGAACAATTTGGCATATCTTAGAAAAAATTGCGTGAGTCGAACTTCAACTATAAGTAACGTTTCAGTGTTATTAACTTCTCGAAGGGTAAGTTATAGTAATCACAAAAAAATCGAAAATGAAATTTTTTATATATTTTTAAGTTGCAGAAGTTTCTGAACAATTTGGCATATCTTAGAAAAAATGGATGTACGTGTGTGTGTGTGTGCTTGTGTATGTATGTGCGGATACAATTTTTCGTCGACGATTTTGCGAATACAAAAAATTTCAAAACTTCTCAAAAATCTGATTTTAAAATAAAAAATATTAAAAAGTTTTTTTTTAATTTATTTTTCGCTATGGGAAGTTTCAGCAATTTGCCTGAAGGCACAATGCCATGCACCACTAGCTGATTTTCAAACCGAATTTATTTGGGGAATTTTTCATTTATAATGTTTATAAGATTTAGTTGGAAAACATTGTGTTGTACTGATTTCCAAATTTTGGAAACTTTTGCAATAGATCATGCAGCAAAAATACTATTTTCAAATGCAAACAAAAAACTCGAATTCATGTCAAAAAATTACCAAATAAATAGTTTTTCGTACGTATTTATTCATGAGTGCACATTTAATAAGAAAACAATATGTGTTACGGCATTGATTTCTGACTAGTGGAAACTGTTGCTATAGATCATGCAGCAAAAATACTATTTTCGAATACAAACAAAAAACTCGAACTGGTATAAAAAAATGACCATCCTTACCAGCTTGTTAAATAAATTATAATATCAGTTAAGCATTTATGAAATTAGATTATCAAAAAATATATAATTTTTCTTATAAAAAAGCTCAACTTTTAAAACAAACGGGTGAGGGAGTTGCAGTACAAAAGGTGTCACAACCAAATATTTTTTTGTAAAAGCCCGTAAATTTAATACAAACATTTACAATAGTATTTCAAATAAATAGCTTTTGATAGCTAATTCCTAACTGATCTCCATTACCATTCTTCACTAAATTAATAACCAAGCTGATTTTCAAGATTACCATAAACTGTATTAAACTATTTGAAATCAAATCGTCGCATTAATCAGATTTAATAATCCTTGTAGTCATGTTAAGATTTTTTAATTGATTGCATATATTTTACAGTATATGTTATCTACTATATTCTATTTCAATCTTTAATGGTAAACTAATCCTTAATAAGATGATAAAATTAAAAATGCACAATGCAAATTCCTATTAAATTAAGGGTTTAAAAATCTGCAGCTACGTTATGCATTTTAGAACAACATAAATTTAATTATTGTTGTTAATATGTGTTAGCATTGCAAATCGGTTAGATTTCATAAGAGTTTATGAATAGTATCACATAAAATTTATTTCTGTTACCAGTCAATCGTAATGGACTTGAGTCCCGATATATCCTTCCTGAACTATCGGTTCCGAATCTATCGCGCGTAATAGTTTCCGTTCGTGTATACGTCATATCACCAGCGTTCATATCACTATTCCATGAACCCAGGCTTGAATAATACAGAATTTTAATTAATTTCTATTTGAATTTAATATAATTTGAATATATATAAAAAGTCTTACTTTAGATTGGTATTTGTCAGTGACGTAGACTTCGTATCTTGCCCAGTTGTTGACTTATTCATTCCTGAAATATAAACATTAAAAAATTATTTTATGCTTTAGATATAAATATATATACCAAATTTTTCGGAGCAATAAATTAAATAATAATGTAAAATATTTTATAATATCTTGATTACTTTCATACTATCGACATATGATCAAATGTTATCTTCAATTGAAACTGCAGTAACACCAATTAACTAGTAACATATTCACAAATGCACAACTGAACCAGTTCTTGTCAATTAAAATAACTATATATATATATATATATATATATATATATATATATATATATATATAATATATATATATATATATATATATATATATAATTGTAACATTTCTAATTAATTTGGCCCTGTGGCCTTACATACAAGCTTCACTTGTAAGAAATTGGTATGAATTATCGCTAATATACTTACTTACACTAATATCAGTGGAATAATCAGAACCTATATTCTTGACCCTGAATCAGCGACATAAACATTGAAAAATTGAGAAATTTGATATTACATCAATATAAGTTATATTTATATTGTTAAGTGCCTATACTTTTTGTTTTCATTCCAGATAATTTCGATGGAAGATACAAATAACTAATAAGAAGACTTAATTGAAGTTCTAAGTAACTTATAAAACTACTTTGTAACTTTTACTTGATGTTATTCCTTTCATATTTTTTTTGTGAACGTTAAGTGTTTATGAACGTTGACTAAAGATTTAGAATGTAATTCTGTTATTATATTAACGTACCATTACTCGATCCATGGTGATCCAATAATTGTACAAGTTGATCGATATCCTCTTGAACTTGATTCTTTTGAGATTCACCATACTGAAAAATATATGTTAATAAAGTTATAACATATAAAAAACTATATAGCTAATCAAAATTACTAAATTTGATGCATCAACGCCGAGGAAAGACTATTTTCACTCGAAAATATATTTTCATTTTCATCAATATTTCAAGCGGAAACTGTTATTACTACTGGTCTGACATCGGACCATATTAACTTCCCGTAGGGTAAGTTATAGAAATCGCAAAAAATCGAAAATGAAAAATTTGTATATATCTGTGCGTTTCAAACCTTTTGAACATTTGGCATACCTTATTATTAGACAAAATGGATGTATATGTTTGTGTGTGTATGTATGTATAGATATGATCGATATCCTCTTGAACTTGATTCTTTTGAGATTCACCATACTGAAAAATATATGTTAATAAAGTTATAACACATAAAAAACTATATAGCTAATCAAAATTACTAAATTTGATGCATCAACGCCGAGGAAAGACTATTTTCACTCGAAAATATATTACTTGACTATTTTCATCAATATTTTCAAGCGGAAACTGTTATTACTACTGGTTGACATCGGACCATATTAACTTCCCGAAGGGTAAGTTATAGAAATCGCAAAAAAATCGAAAATAAAAATTTGTATATATCTGTGCGTTTCAAAAGCTTCTGAACATTTTGGCATACCTTATTATTAGACAAAATGGATGTATATGTTTGTGTGTGTATGTATGTATAGATACAATTTTTTGTCCACGTTTTCTGGCGCACAGATCAACCAATTTGAATGGTTCAAAGAACATTCGATTCCTATTGATAGGGAGATGTTCTGATTAGTTTTTGGCAAAGGTAGGTCCAACCGTTCCGGAAAAACGGAGCAAAGAGGGCAGAAAATAAAAATCGAGTTCTTGAGAGACGGAGCATCCAATTTGAATGATCTAAAAAACATTCAATTCGTAATGATGGGGAGAAGTGGAGACTACATTTTGGCAAAGGCAGGTCCAGCCGTTTCTGAGATACCGAGCTAAATATGCAAAAAATGGCACTTTTTGAAAAAACTAAGCATCCGATTTGAATGATTAAAAAAACTTTATGCTTATTTTGACAAAATAATTGCTTTTGGAAAAAAAATTATTTCAATTATTTTTTTCCAAATTTTTTTTTCGCAAAAAAATTTATTTTTTGTATATCAAAAATAATTCAGATTTTAATTTTAATTCTGGCTAAATACTAAAACTCACTTATATACTTCAAATAAATAATCTTAACTTTGTAATTCAGTTTATATAACTCTTATAAATATTAGACAGTGTTACAGTATTTGTAATAATCTATTTGAAAGCATTTAATATTTATTAAACATTTCGTTACGGTACGGGGAGTTACAACAATTCGCCTTAAGGCACGATGCCATACGCCACTAGTTTACACCCTTATTTATGCCTGATAACTTCGATTTGAAAGACCAAAGCTCTAAATAAATATTACTGACCTGTCTGCTAACCGGAGTCGATGTAGTAGTGTATCTTTTCGTACTCGATCTTGTGTGGTCGTCTAATCTGCTGCCTGGCCGTGAAACTGTGGCTTGTAAGTCATCTAACATAACATCTGCAATGTAAAAATAGTCAATTATAATGTAAACTAATGGTCGGTTAATGTCAAAAAAAAAATCCGTCTGGAATTTCAGGTTTATAGAGTTCACCAATGATATTTAGATACCATAAACATTCTTCAGATCATCTATTTATTAGTTTTTAATGCAAATGTCAATATGTTTTAATATCGGCTCCAAATCAATCAAATCATCTATTATCATCGCATCGTATATGTATTATCTATTTTTCATACCGAAGAGCATACCGATTTTTTTTAGTTTGTGGACCAATTTATTTTATTTTTTTATAATTTGTATTTAAAAATACATACGGTTCTAAATTTCCACCCTCTCATCACAAACCCCTATTATTTCGTAAAAGTCATTTTAGTAATCGAATAATTTTTCTACCAGCTTTCAGTCAATGAGTATTTTTCACTGAATTTTGATTGAGATTTTTTAATTTGATAAAAAAGCTTAAATTTACCTTCAAAAACCAATTTATTTTTATCGAGGGCTGTTCAAACTTTTTTTTAAAGTTTTGGAATCAAATTTCTTTTCTTTTTAACTTTGAAAATTTGAATTTTGAATTTGAAAAATACATACAACTTTTCACTGTCCTATTTCATAATAATAATTTTAGTAGCCCAATCATTTTTATATAGCTCGATAAATGATACGAAAATTGTAAAATTAAAATAAATAATATATTTTATTATTATATTACACACGTAATACATACTCCAAGCTGACAACATGTTCGTTTGGAATAAGCTTTTTTATTATAAAATATATTTTTATAATAAATATATTATTTATTTAAATTTTACAATTTTTTTAAAATTTATCAAAACTCGACGTTTTATCAATTTTTTGTTTCATATTTTTTTATATGATTTTTTTTCAAATTTCTTTATATGATGGATCAAATCAAGACCCGAAACGTATGTTCTCTGAATAAAAACATTTTCCTTCAATAAAACTGTTTTTAATTACTGGATGGATGCCCAAGAAACAATGTTACCATATTATTTCACCATCTGAAGAAAAACCTCTCGCTTTATATATATATATATATATATATATATATATATATATATTTATTTATTTATTTATTAACTTCCCGTAGGGCAAGTTATAGTAATCGCAAAAAAATCGAAAATGAAAATTTTTATATATCTTTACGTTTCAGAGGTTTCTGAACATTTTGGCATACCTTAGAAAAAATGGATGTATGTGTGTGTGTGTGTGTGTGTGTGTGTGTATGTATGTATGTATGTATGTATGTATGTATGTATGTACGTGTGTGTATGTATGTGCGGATACAAATTTTCGTCGACGATTTCGGGAACACGGATCAACCGATTTGAATAATTCAAAAAACATTCGATTCGTATTGATAAGGAGACGTGCTGATTAGTTTTTGGCGAAGGCAGGTCTGACCGTTCCGAAGATACGGGGCAAAAAGTGCCAAAAACGGTACATCCGTTTTTAAGAGAACGGAGCGTCCGATTTGAATAATTCAAAAAACATTTTACTTGTATTGACGAGATAAAAAATTGATCACATTTTCATGAGGGCAGGTCTAGCGGTTTCGGAGATCTAACGAAAAAAGTAAAAAAAAATGCTATTCGGCGGTTAAAAATGATCATTAGACATATGCACATCAAATTATCAGATATTTTATAGAGATTTTAACAGTAAGTATAATTTTTTTTCACATTTCTATGGGTTCCGTACCAATGCTTATGCGTTAGGCGGCGGCGCGGCACTTGCGCTGTGACATTTCGTCTCTATATGCAGTTCAAGCAGTACGATTGCATTGAAAAAAAAAAGTTCAGAATTTCCAAAATATGCCAAAATGAAGAAAACATTTTTCTTTTCAAAAAAAATTTTTTTCTTTCAAAAAAAAAATTTTTTTTCAAATAAAATTTTTTTTTTCAAAAAATAGTAATTTTTTATCAAATTTATAGTTTTTCAAAAATCTAATTTTTTCGAAGTAATTTTTTTTCAAAAATGTTAATCGTTTTTAAAAAAAATAATAATTTTGGGTACGGGAAGTTCCAGCAATTTGCCTTAAGGCACGATGCCCTAATTGCCTTAAGACAGAATTCCACTTACAGCTAGTTTATTTATATATATATATATATATATATATATATATAAGGGCGGGTCGATTTGTATGGGTAAAAAAAGTCACATAGGCACATATGATTTACGTATACTAGGGATCAAAATAAGATACTTTGCGGAAGAAACCATAACTCTATCTTCTGATGTCCGTGCATTCACCCAAAGATTGGGTCAAATATTAATAAATCCTGTTTTGGCTCATTTAGAGCGCCTCAATAATGTCCAAATGTATGACCGACCTCCAGTAATTTTGGAAGGCCGATCTACCCATGCCCATGTTTCACCCCCTGGGACCTCTCTTTAGAGGTCCCCCATACAAAAGTTGCATCATTTTGGGTACTTCAACATGACAAGAATCTGCGATTCATTTTTATTTTAATATTTATTTAATCATAAGATATGTAAATAAAACTATGTAAAGCTCATAAACTATTGTTTGAAGTCTTTTTTAGTTTCAAGTCTGGAAAATTTTGCACGGCTCTCTAATATCGTCGCCGTAACAGCCTCTAGCTAGCATAGAAACGCAGAGACAAAATGCATTGGAAAAATTGAAACAAAGAAGAATTTTAATAAAAAAATTTTGTAAAAAAGTTTTTTATGTGTGTTTGAATTAATATCTAAAGAAAATTGTCTAAAAAAACATTTTTTGCTGAGTAAAATACCAAAAACGATGATTTTTTGCAATATTTGTATGGTAGACCTCTAAGGGGAGGTTCCAGGGGTGAACCATAGGCATAGGTGGATCGGCCTTCCAAAGTTAGTAGGAGTTTTGACACTTGGATGCAATTTGAGCACTCTAAATAGATTAAAACGGAATTTTTCAAAATCAATCAAATCAATCTTTATCAGAATTCATTTTAGAGGTATGGTTTTTCCAGCGAAGTATCTTATTTTGATCCCTAGTATCCGAAAATTATATGTGCTTAAGCGACTTTTAAATCGACCCGCCCTAATATATATATATAAATATTTATATATATATATATATATATATATATATATATATAATAAAATTAAATAATACCTAAGCAAGAGTCGAGGTGCTGCGGTGATTGGGGTCGTAACATAGGCGAGCGAAGCATGTTGTTGCTTGATCCAGATACATTACTGTAACTCTCATGATAATCTCCAGTCATCTGAAAATTTAATTTATTTATTATTTTGTTTAAACTATATTAATGAGCTTCTATTCACATGTTGCACTTAGATAATTTTAGTATATGTGTATAATAAAATTAATATTAGAATTATGTCAACTTTTAATTTGATATTTTATATTTCATGCAACTCGATATATACACTATCGGTCAAAAGTTAGGGACCACTTCACAATGTTAATGAAATGTACAGGAAACATTGTTGGTGACGTTGTAAAAATTGAGGATATCATGGACAAGAAAGTTGAAGTCTTTCACAACATTCTTCAACAACGCGCTTTTCCGTGTGGAAAACGAATTGTGGGTCGCGAATTCATTTTTCAGCAAGATAATAATCTTAAGCACATTTCTAAATTTTTCTGGGATTACATCGCAGCCAAAAAGAAGCAAAAAGAACTCAAATATATAGAATGGCCTCCTCAGTCGCCGGATGAGTTGCTGTGGGACGAATTGGACAGACAAGTAAAAAAATTGCAACCAACTAATACAAAACAGCTTTGCACGTTTGTACAGAATCGCTGGAATGAAATAACGACTGCATAAGTACCAAATGAAAGGATGCCCAGAATATGCGCTGCAGTTATACGAGCAATAGGCGGATATTACGAAAAATCAAAAATATAGATAAAATATTTGCGGGTTTCTTTGTGAGTTGATATATTTTGTACAAACAATTATTAGTTTTTCATGAATATTGATAATAAAAAATAATGAACAAAGGAAACCTTGGTTTCTTGTACATTTCATCGATATTGAGAAGTGGACCCAAACTTTTGACCGCTTTAGGTGTAATTTCTTTAATAAATAAAAATTGAGTAAAAAGAAAAATATTTTTAAATGTCTGACATCAGATGCAATCGATATAGAAAATGAGCTTTCTGTGAACAATTACGTTCACAACAATTACAAACTACCACTAAAGATAAGCCGTAGAACAAAAAATCATGATTTTGCGCAAAGCAAAATATATTATTTGATTTGATTTTTATTCTAAAATTAAGTATAGTAATTTCTTCAATAATACGTTCTCTATTCAACAAATTAAGTAACAAACAAAAGTAAGTAGTTTTTGCATTAAGAAAAGTTGCATGAGTTTTCCAGTATGAACCGAGATCAAGAGCTACTGAAGCTCTGGAATAATGGTGCTCCGGTAAGGCTACAAATTTTTGTATTGGTCATTCTTAGCGTGCTAAGTATGAAAACCATTGTCTGACAGGTTTCAAGCCTGCACATTATGGTCGCCCAGGAGTTTGAAAATGCTAAAAAAAACGACAGTTAGGCCTGTTCATGTAAACTTCAAATGTTTATGCAATTTTTATGAGTTTATGAGTTTATGAGAAGTTCAAAAATCAAATTGACAGACGATTTCAACCTGCACAAGTTCGGTACTTGTGCCGAAATATTCAGTTTTATATGCCTTAAAATAAACTTTGTCTTATAAGGTTAAAATTTATATGTGTTTGTCTAACTGATTTTAAAAAGATAACTCCTGAGCGACCATAATGTGCAGAGCTGAAACATGTCAGACGATGGTTTTCGTACTTAGGACGCTAAGAATCACCAGTACAAAAAATTGTAACCTTACAGGAATACCGATATTCTAAATGTTCAGTAGCTCTTGGTCCATACCGGAAAGCTCACGCCGTAATTCAAAAGGTTTAAGAGCTATGTATAAATTATAATGTATAAATTATAATGTTTTATAATAATGTGCCTTAGTAAGCACTCGGCTGTTCAACTGCACGATCGAGCGCTGTTCGTTAAAACCATGAACCATTTCGCTCCAATAATAATACATAATAATATAAAATATATTATCGTTAAAAAAAAGTCTAACAATACGCCTTGGTTGATCCTTACCAAAAAGTAGGCAAAACGTATATCGTATCATCATTTTTACCGAAATTATGAGAAAAAAAAATCACTTTTCTCCTAATTATGAAAAAACAGCTCGTTTTGCGCAAAAATATTAACAATTTATATTTCTCTATTCATTACTTTTACTTCACTACCTCACCAAATCACTTGCTGCTTCTAATTAAAGTTTTCATCAGTATTCATTTCAAAGAGCCAAGTCTAGCAAAGCAGTAAGAAAATACTTGAGTCTAATCAATAAGTTTTTAATTAATCATATTTATAACCATGTTTATTGCTATTACAATATTGTTAATTTGTTTGTAATTACAATGATAAAATATAAACTATAGAGAATGAAAACATTTTTAACGCGTGTTTTAATAACATGAGATGTAAATATATGTACATGCACAGATATATATATATATATATATATATATATATATATATTATATATATATATATATTATATATATATATATATATTATATATATATATAATTGTATATATAATTAAAAATCGAGCACTGAGATCTAAATCGAAATATTAGGAAATAACAGCTGCGCACCTTTTTTTCTAAAATATTGTCATCAGCAATATATAAAATATAGAAAAAACCTAAACAACTTCCATTTTATGCAATTTTTCACAATATATGATTGCACTAAATATATAAATATAAATCACAAATTATTAAATGCCTGATGATTGCTATTGCCTCACTTGTGAATTAAAAATCAATCAATCAATCAATCGACTCCTATTCAAAGAAAAAATATATTCATACTAAATTACTTGATAGGGGGCTATGAAGTTATGTTTATTTTATAGAAGAAATAAATTAAAGTGATTTCAATCATTCACATTCAAAACACGATAAGTGAAATAACCACATATTAGCCAAACCAAAAAACCTAATATATAATCTGAAATATTACATATAAAGCCTTTTTACTTAAAAATTATTTAATATTTCGTTTAAAAATATTATCATAAAATTTCATTTGAAAATTGAAAGAATTCACTTTTTGGTTTAAAATTATTAAAACCAACAGTTTTTAATAAACATTGTAATAAATAAAATTAAATGTATTATATATGTTCAATTTGATTATTAGTAAAAATTTTAATATTAAAATGTGTATGAATGTAAATACATCCTCTCAAGTAAGTACATTTCAGAAAATGCACTTTATATTAAAAATATATCTTTTACGTAAAATACGCAACGTCGATCCCCCATTCAAACGTTTTTATATATTTAGATGATAATGAAATATCACAGTTCGTTGAAAGGTTTATATTTTTCTTGCTTGCCCATCACCCAAATAATTCTATTTTCGTCTATCTTACTTCAAATAAGCTGTTGTTCCATATTTTAAATTTTAATTATTTTTATGCATAAATATTATGCAATTTGTTAGATACATAATTTAATTGATCAAGCATTAGCTGAGCTGTTAACGAATCAGTTCTTGTTGTTACTAATCAAATTTAGTTTAGTTGTAATATCAATATTAGTAAAACATAATGCAAAATGAAACTAGTTCAAAGTGACATCCCTATAGGTGTAATACAATTTTCAACCGTTTATTTCTGAAATAAAGTTTTCACTTTTCTAAAACAAATACGTGCTTGTATATAGTAATAGCGCCAAATTAAACCAAATTTTAATTAATTTATATAATTCAACCAATTTTCGCAGGGCTGTTCAGTACATGATGTTTATTGGCATGTTAAAACGCTGAAACATTTTTTTTAAATAATGAATTCCTTTATTTATTTATTTATTTTCAAACTTTTTTGATCATATTTTTTCAAACTTTAATTTTTTTTAAATGAAACAACTTTTTGTATGACCGTAATATTTTAGTATGTTCTATAAGACCATGCCGTTCTATAAGACTAAATGTCAAAAAATGTTTGATGAAAATCGTCGATGTTTTTTAACAGTTAATTACAAGAAAACGGCCTGGCCGATCTTCACCAAAACCTAATTAGCAATTTTAAAATCGGTTCAGGATTATGGGCTAAAACGTGAACGAAAAATTTAACACTTTTTTTGTTAATTACAAAGAAACGGCTTAGCCGACCATCGCGCAAATCTAGTAAACCCTAGTCCTCATCGAGTTACATCGTATGGCTTATGAAATAAAAAAAAATCGACAAAAGGTCAAAAATCGTCTTACGTACATACACACACACTTTTTTCAAATTCGGTCTCATTCGAGATAAAAATAAAAAAAAGTTAAATGAGATTACTATATAATATTTACAAAAAAGTATTAAAATTCAAATCACATTTTGTTTACACTGTTAAAAAACAGCATATTAGCTGCAATATTTTTTTTATATTAAAGAATAATTAGATTCATAAAAAATAGCAAAAAGTAAGAATATAAACATTAAACGTTTTATATTATTTCATTTACAAAAATTATTTATTGCGTTGGGTTCAGAATAAGACCTTGTAACAGATTCAACACAAAATGTAATGTTATATATAGATAATGACAATGAATAAAAAGATGTTTTAGAATATAATTTCCTGGAAAAATATATTTTCCTAGTAGCATTGAAAATTTTATGTCATGAGTCATATCCTTGCCAAAAATTTATTTTAAAACGAAAACTCACAAACGAAAACAAACATGTGTTTATAGTGGGTTGCTCAAGAACAAAGAACAAGTAACGATACACCCAAATTACAGCATTCTACTACACCTTGACAAGATTTATCACCCTACACAATATATATATATATATATATATATATATATATATATTTGTGTATACATAATCAAAATAGCCTTCAAAATTAGAAATCTGATGCGTCATTTTCTGTGTGCAAGTTCGACGGCGACCTTCACTAATATCACTCACACAGATAAGATGCGTATCGTTTAATGTTATCTTCTTAAATATTATTTAATACAATATATTTGCATTAACGATTATATAAATAATTGTATTACTGCGTTACTGAAAAAATATCATTTATATTTTCACAGCATCATTAAATTCAAATTATAATCAAGACCGAATTAGTATCTATAAGCAACCGATTTTATAAATATAGAATATAAACGTGCAGAAATGTAGAAGACGAATGCTATTTAAGGTTAGTTTTTGTAATAAGTTAGATTTTATATAACATTAAAACTTACTCTGGTTTTATTAAGTGGCAACTATTACATATATTTAACAATGGTGAATTAAACTGAAAATATTACAATAAATGTATAAATTAAACGCGAATTATATTACTTTTGCTGTTGTTTCGTGTTGAACGTAAATTTTCGAACTTTACATAAAACATTACTGAATCTTGATACTACGTGAGCGATCAGTTCGACCCACACTTGCTCGCCTACATACGAGATGCCAATGTTCAAGAATAGAACGTCGGCCTGATTGCAATTCCCCGTAACGTGTGATATATTATATATATATATATATATATATATATATATATATATATATATATGTATATATATATATACATTGGTATATTTGTTTATTCGAAATGGCGGGAAATAAAGGAGAGGATGTGTTGAACCATTACAATTCAAGTGTGTATTTGCGTGTATGTGGTTAATTATTTTAAAATTAAACCAATGGTGGTGTGCATGACATCGTGCCTTAAACTTTAAATTTTTTTGAAAACTTAAAAAAAAAAGATTTTTGAAGATTTTGAAATTGTTGAAAAAAATTTTTATTAGTCTAAAATTTTTGAAAACTTTGACCTTTTTTTTCAAAGGAATAGCGCTACTTAGCTAATCAACACAAATAAAATTTTGAATAACAAATCGGACGCCCGGAAATTGAATTTGAAATCGGACGATTCCAAAAACTGAATATCACCTTTTGGCACTTTTTGCCCCGTATCTTTGAAACAGCTGGACCTGCCATTGCCAAAAACTAATAAGCACGTCATTCCCATCAATACAAATCGTATGTTTTGTAAATTATTCAAATCGATTGATCCGTGTTCCAGAAATCGGCGACGTAAATTTGTATCAGCGCGCACACATACATCAATTTTTTCTAAGGCATGTCAAAATGTTCAGAACGCTTTGAAACGTAAAGATATGCAAAAAAAATATTTTTGATTTTTTCGCAAATACTATAACTTACCCTACGGAAAGTTAATAAACAAAACATGCATTTTAAGTAAAAACCCAAGTCAAATTATGATTTCATATTAAGATTCATTATAATTAAAATTAAAACCGTGGAGAGAAAGAGTATACAATATATAATACATCGCAAATGCTAAGCGCTTGAGTTACTTAATATTTCTTCAATATAATACGCTTTCTCCAAACATCGGCTTTGGCCGATCAATTTTATTGAAATATTTTAATATGCTGCATTCGTTTAAAAATTGTAAAAATTAATTATCCTTACTATTGTGGAATATCATAAAGAAGAATTAACATTAAGAGAAATTGCATGTATACACATCCATCTATCCACTAACTATTGGGCCGCGCATCAGTTCGAATATTTCACCGTTGTCACTACAACATCCGCACTTGGAAAATTTTAGATACTAAAAAACGCAGAATGAGCATATTTCAATCGTATATTCATTTATCAATAAATAAATGAGTTTCTTGACATATGCGCCAAAATAATTTTGAACAAATGCAAAGCTTTCAACATATATCCCGAGGATGGACTTAGATCCGAAACGTCGAAAATAGATTATACTATTATTCTATTTTATAAATATACGTTTTTTATATATATATGTAATATGTATATATACATGAGTGTGTTTATGTTTGTTCTAAACATCCAATGAAATTAGGGCATTAACTTTACTTCACACAAGCGTGAACGAATTTTACAACAAACATTGCATCGCACAACGTGCTGCAGTGCTATCAATTGCAGTAAATAAATTAAGTTACCTGTTCATTGCAGTCCAATCAAATGACCCAAGTAATCCTAAGTTATATTCAATGAGTGAATCTTGAGAATTTTTGCCACACTTTGAGAACAAACTTGTTGAAGAAAAATCTCACAGTTAAAGCACTCTTGCGATTGAATAATGCACCTCTTGAATTGAATTCTTCCTTACATGAGGCACTACTGTTGATATATATATATACATATATATATGTATACACTAGGTTTTTGCATTAATGTAAATATAACTCCTGCTTATCGGAATATATATATGCATATATTTATTTTAGTATACTTGCAGAATAAAAATCAGTCTACATTATGTTCATATAATTTATTTGTGTTACTTCGGAAAATGATAATAAACATGCAAATGTCAAAAACTCTAAAATATTTGTATGATTAATATAATGTATCTGGTAAAAAAAAAGTGATAGTTCACACAAAACAAAAAATTTGGTCCTTCAGGACCGTTGATAATGTTTTAGATGTATAATTATGACTTTGTTACTACTTACTAATATATATATCAATATATAACAAATAATAAAACTCAAATGTTCAAGAACAGCTTAAACAGTAAACATACAATCAATATATTATACCTTATCACTTTTATAATTATTCTTTGTATAAAAATACAAGTACATTCATCATGTTATATTATTCTGTTTGTTAGATCTGAGTCGAGCTAGTCCAGATCGCTCTTCTTCTTCATCACTTGTATAACTAGATAATCCTGCTCCTCTCATTGAAGTGGCTTGCATTAGTTCTTGATCAGGAGCATTTCTACTTTCATATAATAATATATTTAATGTTTCCTCATAAATTCTAGCTTCCGGAAACTCTACTTTAGTATGTTTTTTATCAGTGGCATACACTATTGAGGTGCAGCAGACTTCTGCAATTTTTTTACTGTGCCCATAAAATGACCAACAGCATATTTCACTAGATCCAATTACATCTTTTATGAATAACACACGACCACTAAATCTCAAAGAAAGCTTATCAAATAATTCTATATTCTTGAGCAAATTATCATCTGATGTATGGGTATAAGAATATTTATTGTTGTGTCGATTGATCAACAGCTTTACAACGGGCTGTAGAAAAAAATATTTAACACTAAATTAAAAATTAAAACATTGTTTAAGCAGATATAGTATCACTGAAGTTAATCCTTTAGTGGTATATCATAAAAAAAATTCTTTTCAAATCAACAATTTTCCACTGTCAATAAATATATAAATGATTAACTTTTTATATACACTATTCTTATGTATTGTGACACAAATAATACAATTGTAAAAATTAGTTGATATAAATATTATTGATGAAAAGCATTGCACATAGAAGATAATATACCTTGAGTGTTGATCCAATAAGAATTTGCTCTTCTTTTAAAGATGTAATAAGTGGAACTCTACATATGGATTCTAAATCTCTGTCTTTTCTCATAAGAGCCTTTTCACATGATTCCGCTAATTCCGAAACGCAATAATATTTAGCCTCAGCTAATAGTTCGGCCATAGCTTCTTTGTTTTCTGGTAGTGGTACACTTCCATCACGCATAAAATTTAATATAGACCCAAAATGCTTTCCACAACGATCAATTAGTATCCAGCCTATACCAAGTATATAAATTGTTATATACAGAATATATATATATATATATATATATATATATATATATATATATATAAAGCAATAAGACAATTATAATCATATTATTTTATAACAGTTAACAATCATGTTTAGCCCATTATTTTAGATTCAACTATCATTACAAAGAACATAAACCTAACATAAGATAAATCAGTTCCACGTAATAATATATAAATTACATTTTATTGAAAATGTCATTAAGAGAGGTACAATATATATGATCGGCACGTAAACAATATTGGCTCAAGAATTCAACTTCAAAACTATAGTTCAGATTACGAACAAATAGACAAAACAATAACAGTATAATATAGTTCACATACATGTACTTATGAATATATATTGGAATGATATTCACCTTCTGAATCTGTCAACACTTCCATTCGGCCACTGAACATAGCTCTGAGCATTGAATCATTTTTTATCAGAGTTCCTATAGTTGTATAATGTAAACAACCCCCAACATTCAATTTTACATATTGGGAAGGGCTGCCTTTGATAAGAATTTTTTGATCGCCTGACATTTCGAATAATGTCTAATTATAACAACTGATATTTATTATTCTCATATTTCTATTGAATGCACTATACCTAAAATATAAAAGGAAAGTTATTTAAATAAATCATATGTTACTGTTAACATGTGAAAAATAATATACTACTAATCTTACAATTATTTAGTTTACGCTAAATTATTGAATTAAATTTGATGGACACTCGAACTCGATCTATGACGTTGACACCGACAATCTGACACTGACAGTGACAGCAGAATTTGTAAATGACCTGTTGACCACTCTTCCCATAGATAAAAGAAGATGACTCTTTCGTTAGACCGAGTTTGAGTCCTACAAATTTTAGCGCCATTCTGTTGCAGAAACGATTTAAATGGAATGAAACTTTGAGAATATGAATTTTCAATACGCAAATTAATTTGCCGGAATTTTCACGAACACATCATTGCTTTTCAGAAAAGCAAATGCAAGAATAAATAGAAAACTAGTGGGGTGCATGGCATCGTGCCTTAAGACAAATTGCTGGAACTTCCCGTACCGTAATTAAAACTCTTGGTACAGAACCCAAAAAAAATTTACACAAAATGTGTACACATTATTAAAATCTCTATAAAATATCTGATAATTTGATGTACATATTTCCAATAAACATTTTTGACCGCCAAATGACATTTTTATAACTTATTTTTATTGAGAGTCCATAACCGTTGGATCTGCCTTCCCAAAAATTGGATCAGTTCTTCATCTTGTCAATACTAGTAAAATGTTTTTTGAATTATTAAAATCGAAAGGTTCGTTCTCTTAAAAACTGAGTTACCGTTTTTGGGACTTTTTGCCCCGTATCTTTGGAACGGCTAGACTTGCCTTCGCCAAAAACTAATCAGCACGTCTGCTTATCAATACGAATCAAATGTTTTTTGAATTATTAAAATCGGTGATCCCAAAATCGTCGACGAAATTTTGTATCCACATACACACTCACACATACTCGTACATACACACACAGAGACATACATCAATTACAAATAATAAAAACATACTAGTTAAAAATATTTTATTAAAACAATGATATTTTCTATAAAAATTGTTTAAATTACTCTGACTTCAATTTCTTGGATGCAATTTCATCCCCCACATCTTCATTTTCTCTTTTGGAAGCGCTAGGTTCATGTTTTTCTTCAGGAATTTCCTTGGTCACTTGTAAATCATTATTTTCAATAGATGTGTGATAACAATTTAATTTAGCTTGACTCTCTGATGATGTATCGCCTTTTAATAATTCCCGAAGTGCCATTGTAGCATATGTTGATGAATTCAAACAAAAGTCTAATAGTAATGCCTTATACTTGCCATCTGCAAATAAGCAATAAGAATATAGTACTTTAATTTTTTAACAAAGAACGAAATATTAGGTTATTGTAATATACTTACTATTCTTTTTAGCTATTTTTTCGCCTTTAAGTTCCTCTAAGTCTGACAATATTAAGTTTTCATTAGGATCATCATAAAATGCTACCTCCCAAACAATACTTTCTGGTTTAGATATTATTTTTCTATATGATCCAGACAATGAGTAACACCTGATGTTAAAATATTAGTAACAACTACAAATAAGAACACAAAAATCAAGTTAAATAAAAAATACTTACTTGACTTTGTTTCTCATAGAATCTATAGATAAACCATCTTCAACAAGCATGTCTTTATACCAAATTGCCAACTCATTATTCGGATAAAGTACATCAAAACCAGGTAGTGGCATTACTACATCAAATATAGAAAATTGTCCAGAATCTATATCATCTTTTGTCAATGCCCTAACTTGTAGTTTTTGATCCTTTTCAATTTTATCATTATTTTCTATTTTCTCATTTTGAGATGGCTCACCTGAGAGATCATAGTACTATTTACTCCAACTTTTTTAAGGATCATAAAAGAGTCTGGTCATTTCCATACAGATATCATGTTTTCAGATATTTTATTTAAACCAATTTAGAAATATGAATAGTAAATATAGTGAAGTTTCATACCTAAATCGTTTTCTTCAATTATTGATAATAAATCATCAGTTACTTCTTCTATTTCTTTATCATTAATGAAAACTAAATCCCCTACCAGAGGTTTCAAACCACCTTCACGAACTCGCCTGTAAATAATAGATTCTCATTTATGCTTTCATGTATGCTTATGTAAATTATTTCATAATGAGGCACCCCTGCCTGACTGAGATATAAAAATAAAATAATAAAAAAAATGTGTAAATCCAGTTTTCTTAAAATAAAAAAATGCATATTTTTCAAGTTCTAGCAATAAATTAATGATGTTTTTTTAAAACCTCATTATAATAATTTTATTACCTTGAAACCAACTTATTCCAAACAAAACTTTGATAGGAATGCAAATAAAGTAATCTCATATTTCTAGGTATGTATTCTAAAGCTGTAACATAATCATTCTTGTTGCATTTTGATAAACCAAATAAGAGTTTGTACTCTACAGTGCTTTTATGACGGCATAACTCATTTAAAGCAGTAATTGGATTTCTGGTCTCCATCCATTCTTTCCTTGCAAGCTGCATTTGATAATCACTTTCATCTTGACGAGGTTGGAGAATAAGATCTATAGCCTGCAAAGTGAAATGCATATAACATCAAAACAAAGTAAAAAAAAACTGAAATCTATTAATTCGATTTATATAGATATAATCTGATAATAAAAGCAAAATATTGATACTCGTTAAATTATATTTTAGCTATAAATATTGAGAATATTATAACTAAAGAACAATCACATATATTATATATACATAGAAGACAAGGGCTATATAATAAAATGCAACCTCTTTAGTAATCCTTGATTCAGTAGGCAGCGAAGACATTGCAAATTAACCTTAACACTCTTGCACTCTCATTAAAAAAATTAAATAAATATATAAAAAAAAAAAATCTATTTATACAAAAATAAATATTGATTAAAAAAATATTTTTGTTTTGAGTACATGTTTCCTGAACAATATAAGAGGATGGCATGGCACACTAAGATTTAATTTTAGCATGGACAGAGCGAACCAATTGACAATTACATTTTTATTTTAAACATAATATGGAAATTTATACATAGCATAAATACATAGTTATATATAATAACATTAAAAATATCTTACAATTTTAATAATTCACCTATCATACAAATGCGAATAGCAAATAGTATTTTTTGTCAATAGTATAAGTTCCAAAGGAAAACTTATTACTATATCAAACTTAAAGAGTTATAGCAAGCAATTTAATGAATGTAGAGAAAGCAAGGAAGTTATTATATTTCAATTTATAATAATGGATTAGGTTTTTAAATTGACACGAATTAGTTCAGACGTGCTTGAGATTGTAAAGATTGTCTTTTCATGCTGTTTATGTATTTTATATTAGTTTTAATTATCATTAACTGTTTTATTGTTTTCTGGTTTTATAGTTCAATTCTATTGTATTCTGGTTTCGATCTGTTCAGTACCACTGAAGATGGCCATATGTAATATATTAGGTTGTCAAATATCTCCCTTCCGCTTTTTTGCTCTTGGTTTATAATACAAAAAGGCGGAAGGGAGATATTTGACAACATTTGTATATATATATATATATATATATATATATATATATATATATATATATATGATTTAGTAGTTAATTTTGATGTTGAAATATATGAGTGAGTTCTTGAGGGCGATACATCAAACAAAGAAAAGCCAAAGATTTATAAAATAATCTAATTATTATTAGATTAGATTATTTTATAAATCTTTGGCTTTTCTTTGTTTGATATATATGAATAATTTGATATATATGAATATAAATAACAAAGAAAAGCCAAAGATTTATAAAATAATCTAATTATTATTAGATTAGATTATTTTATAAATCTTTGGCTTTTCTTTGTTTGATGTATCGCCCTCAAGAACTCACTCATATATATATATATATATATATATATATATATATATATACTTATATGAGTGAGGAATCAAAATTGAATCACTAACCTCTTTCCAGTTACTTTTAAGCAAAGCCAAGCCAATAGCATAAGTAGGAACTTCTACACAGCTTCCAAATCTTTGAAGCCCATAGTAATTTATGAACCTGAAATATGATAGTATAATTATAAATAAATTCAAACAGTTTTCTACTGTTTACTGTACTGTCTAATAATAAGGGTAGGTTAATCAAATATATACCGGCTTCTGATTAGGTCAGTTGCATCACATAAGAATGAAAGAAGACTCACATCAGAAATTTTGTTCAGTAAGGTAATATTTAAAATTTGACAAAATGAAATTTTTGTAATATTTTTTATTATATTATTTTATTTTCTATTATATTATTTTGTATAATATATATATATATATATATATATATATATATATATTATATTTATAATATATATAGGAAAATGTTTTTAGTATGAAAACATACGTTTCGGGTCTTGATTTGACCCATCTTCAGTGTCAAAGTGATCAATTTAATAAATTTGTTTTATAACAAATATATATTGTGAAAGTATATAAAATAATAAATATATATATATATATATATATATATATATAATAGGTTGTCAAATATCTCCCTTCCGCCTTTTTGTATTATAAACCAAGAGCAAAAAAGCGGAAGGGAGATATTTGACAACCTAATATATATATATTATGCATTACGTACTTAATTCGTTGTGCGAAAAGTTCGCTATGCGAAACGAGTTTTTCCATGCAAATACATGAATATAAAATTAATTCATTATGTAGTTTAAAATGTGGTCATAGAAAATAAGATTCATTTTACACATAATTAAGACATTTAAAAAAATATTACTGATTTACGAAATAAGTTATCAGAGTCATACTGCTTCCTTCGGTGCCCTTTTAGCTTCTGAATTTTTAAATAAACTGTCGATAGGTTTTTCCAACAAGTTTTCACTGTGGAGCAAAAATTTCCATGGTACGCTCTTTCAATTAATTTAAGCAATATATGTTTTTTGACTACAAATGATAATAATTTAGTACATTATGTGAAACAAAGTTTGTTGTATGGAACGACGTTAGAGACCGAAACAAACATTATGGGGATCGTCCATTGTGCGAGGCGTACGTTATACGGAGTATCACTGTATATATATAATATACATACAGCAATTGTTAATTCTGTAAAATGTTCTAGCAGATAATACAACTGTGAATAATTTGTTTACAAGCGAACAACTGCCCAAAATATCATACATACCCATTATTCTTCAAGCTCTCTAAAGCCTTATCTATAACTTCAATATCACCAACAATGTTTCTAAGAACAATTCTGAATCTATTTCCTTTTAATTGTCCAAGTTTTAAAGCGTGATCTTTAAATGTGAAATTACCTATAGCAATGTTTTTTGCAAACTTGCAAGCTGTTAACAAACGCCGAGGTTGTACTTTCTTAACGCAAAACCATTGTGTGGTTTTACCTCTACGATCTTTTGTTCCTAGAAGAAACCATATTAAAACAAACAGTGAATTTAAAGAACATAGATAATATGCAATATATTTTTTCAATAAGCATGTGAAACTATACTTACCAGCATAAGTTATATTTCCAGGTTTCATTTGTAAACCTTGCGCTAACTCAGCAGCTGCCTGCATCGTATCAAGATTAAATTTATGAAGTAAAAAATGTACCCACTCTCCAGGCCAGAGCCACTTTTCACGATTGTCAATACGAACTGAAAGGTAAATTTAGCAAATTCTTTAATAATATTACTTATAAATAAAATGCATGCTGTAATTTTTATATATTTTACCAGATTTATTAAACTTTGCAAATGTTATATATTTTTTATCAGCCTCATTCAGTGTACTGCCAACAACAGCGCTCCCAAATTTTTGTTTGACTGCACCATATATTTTTGTTCGATCTTCTTTGGTTATCAAACATGCATCAACCTAGATATTCAATTACAGATATAGTTTATAAATTATTTTTTCATACAATTTCATCATTATGTAATATATATCTATATATCTATATATCTATATATCTATATCTATATATATATATATATATATATATATACGAGTATATATATATATATATATATATATATATATATACGAGTATATATATATATATATATATATATATATATATATACAAATACCATTTACAGGATTATTTATCTCTCGGTAATAATGTAATGAAGATGCACATTGTTATCCTAAACCCTTTGAACTTACTTTTACAATACGTTTATCATCAGATTTTATAATTTCTTCAATTTCTTTCCATGTTTCCAATGGTAATATCTCAATATCATATTTATGGGGATTGTTGACATCATCTTCTAATTGATTAGCGTTACTACTATTTTGACTGCACTGAGGCGGAGTTGGTGGAGATTCAATATCAGTCAATTTAGTAATTGCTCCAGAGAGATCTATTTCATTTACATGAAAATCTGAATATCTAGCAATAAAAATATATTTAAAACACAATTATTATATCACTGAATCTTACTGAACTGAACCCTATAGACAAACACTACATATAGTACAATAAACAATTATTTTTAATAAGCTTGAATTATTTCACAAGATAGGTGATTAAAATAGTTACAGAACCTCAATTTATTTTATCACAGATTTTTTTTAATTGAGTTTGGTTCTCTATACATACCTTGCTTTAATTATTCCACTAAAGCCAGGCAAGTCGCTTATGTATTCAGTAATACCTACAGCTGATTCACTTAATCTTTTTCCTGGATCATTGGTAAATTTATTACTAAAATAAATAGAGAAGTTTAGTATAATCCAGTAAAGCATAAGAATATGAATAAAAATACATAATTTAAATGTCATCAGCAGTTACGAAGCAATTTTAAAAGGTAAAATTTTAATATTTTGTAAAATACTCAAGGTTGCAATAATATATTATTTAATAATTTTAACAAAAGCAAGCAAAAGGGTGAATGCTTTTATGCAATAGTCGATAAGTAGAAATTCATTATTTTAGAGACGTATTTTATCTGATGAAAAAAAAAAACTATAAAATAAACATTAGTTTTTCAATGAAAATCAGAGAGTAGTGTACTATGCATAAAATTATATCTAAATCAACATGATGGTATTGGACAATATACAGACAATATTTATTGTAATAAATAAATATTGTCCGTAGTAATAAAAGATGTAAAAGTAAATGTTTAGGATGGGAACTATTTATCTACGAATATTAAACATTAATCATGTGCCCAATAACATAAACCCTTATAACTATGTATAGCATACGTACACTATATATATATATATATATATATATATATATATATATATATATATATATATATATATATACTAGCCGACCCGACAGACTTCGCCCTGTCAAAAAAATTTGTAATGTGGCGGTGTTCTGTTCCTACCTTTTTTCTATTCTTTGCAAAAAATTATCCTAAACAGAAAGGTCACCCTGGTAATAATTCGGTGTGAATTAAAAATAATTAAATAAAACACTATAAGCATTTAAAAGTAAGTAATTTTAATCATGTAAATCATAATTCAAAAATCAGTTCAAATTTTATTGTAGTGCTTTGTGATAAACGATGTTTTTTGTTTGATTACCTGGCGCATAGACAAACAAATCTGATGGTTTTCCAATACGGGAACAGACAACATACAATTTTCCATGTGAAAAACATGGGTTTACCAAAATCATATCACAAACACTTAATGATGCCATAAACGCACAGGAAACTGTAGTCGTTTAATCTCAAATGGCACATCAGTCGGAATCATTGGGATGCACGGTGCGAGAACATCTTCTGCTTTAAATATAGTATAATATGTAAATGTAGTATAATCCTTTCAATATAGTTGCTTCCATCACGTTGTTTGATAGTTTTTTTATCGCTAACCTTGTGCCGTTGCAAAGGCGCGGTTGGTCAATATTTCGCAACATTATAATTGCCGATCCAACCTTTAATTGAAGATTGTGAGGTGACAATCCTAGCAAATCCAGCGAGTTTAAAAACTCCGGTGGATCGTCTTGGTTAGTTGCCGAATCAACTGATTCGCCTGAAATTTGTTCTTGAATTTTGAAATTTAATTTATTTACATCAATGTTTTGGCTGCCAATATAGCTCGTTAATTAATAGAAAGATATTTCTATGTTTATGTAAATATATTAAAAATTAGATTATCAAAAACTACACAAAATGTCATGACATAGATCATTGGTTTTTCTACAAATTTCGTTGCCTACTCGATCAAAAAAGAAAAGGGCTGTTTTTAGGGATTTCCCGGCAATTATTCGATTTTTTTCTCGCCGTAAGAACCATCCTTGGACATGAACGAACATTTTAAAAGAAGAATTGTCCAAATTGGTCCAGGCGTTGTTGAGTTATGCACTTACCAACACATTTTGCGATCCATTTTTATATATAAGATATATATATATATATATATATATATATATATATATATATATATATATATATATAGTATTTTGGATGGTAAAGGATATGTATTAAATAAGAATCCATATTGTTGAATGAAAACAATGCCAGCTAATTTAAAAAATTTAATTACACAATCATGCCTTGGTATAACTTATCAACGATGTGAATACATAAAAATAATTTAAAGAAATACAATAACACAAAACAGTAAATAATTGATGAGGGTAGCTAACTTACTCACATATAATATGTGTGAATGTACATATGATAATGTGTAGATAATTATAGGTTTTCATATTATTGGGCACATGATTAATGTTTAATATTAGGTTGTCAAATATCTCCCTTCCGCTTTTTTGCTCTTGGTTTATAATACAAAAAGGCGGAAGGGAGATATTTGACAACCTATTATTTGTAGATAGTCCTACCGGTTCGTATTCCTATTTATTCAATTTTCTATCATAAATAAATGTCATCAAATTTTAGGGATAATTTTGTTGACCCTCATTTTTTTACTTTTTTTATGAAAACGCAACATAACCAGAAGCTTGAAAAGAATAAATACCTAATATTTTTGTTTGTAACGAATGGTTTTTTCTTAGTTTCTCCAAATCTACGTCTGCCGGCTGAATGTTTTCGATTACCACGATACATCTTACAAGTCAGTCAAATCACTAAATTCATACATAAACCAATAACGTCAAATGAAAATATAAAATCACAATTTTTATATTTGGGAATTAACTGAATAGCAAGTAGTAAAATTAGTAACTTCACTATAAAATCAAATATAGTAAATGAAGTTATTCTTCCGTCGCGATGTTAATTATTATAAGGTTATTATACACCATGGACTGTCAATTCATGAGCACGTGTTAAATTACCAATGTTCCAGGTTCCAATCCGAACCATAGTATTTGCATCTAGGCTTCGAACCCCTGTTAAAACATTCTGATACTAACCTTCGAACCTATATTATTAACCTAGATAAATAAGCATATGATTGCATATGATGATTATTAACTTCCCGTAGGGTAAGTTCATAGATAAATAAGCATAAAAGGGTAAGTCATTTTATAATTAAGGGTAAGTCAGTTTATGTTTACTTATCTATGGGGTAAGTTATAGTAATCGCAGAAAAATCGAAAATGAAATGTTTTATATATTTTTACGTTTCAAAGGTTTCTGAACATTTTGGCATACCTTATTGTTAGAAAAAAAAAAATAGATGTGTGTGTGTGCGTTTGAAAACAAATGTTCGTCGACGATTTCGGGAACACGGATCAACCGATTTGAATAATTTAAAAAATATTCGATTCGTATTGATAAGGAGACGTACCGATTAGTTTTTAGTACCAAAAATGGTAATTTAGTTTGTGAGAGAACGAAGCGTCCGATTTGAATAATTTATAAAAACATTTTATTTATGTTGATTAAACGAAGAAACTGTTTTGGAAAGGCAGGTTCAGCGATTGTGAAGTTTCAATTTTTTTTTTTAAATATCGTTTGGTGGTCAAAAATAACCATAAGACATATGCGCATCAAATTATCAGATTTAACTTCCCGAAGGAGAAGTTTATGCTTTCATCAAAAAATCCGATTCGCTAATTTTATGTTTTCTCGACGTTTCAAGCCATTCTGAATCGAATGAGACTAAATTTGGAAAAAGTATGTGTGTGTGTGTGTGTATGTGAACAGTTTTTTTGCCATAAATCGACGTTTTCTCGAAAACGGCTGGGCCGATTTCAAAAATTTAAAAGCCTTGCGGAACGATCGCCCGAGACGTTTCTTTATAAATAACAGAAAAGTGAAAAAAATTTCGTGCACGTTTTGGCCCGCAATTCTGAACCGATTATGAAAATTCAAAAACCGTTCGAAAGGTATTGATTGGGAATCGTGCTGATTAGTTTTTGGTAAAGATCGGCCGGGCCATTTTCTTGTAATAAAGTGTTAAAAAATTTTTTTTCGACGATTTTTATTATTATTTTTTTGACGGTAGATACTATAGTCTTATAGATCATACTAAAATATTACGGCCCTACGACAATTGGTTTAACTTTGAAAATTCGCCAAAGTTTGCAAAAATTGGTATCGTTTTTTTGGCATTTGTCAAAATGAAACCTTTCATCGACGTTTTCTCAAAAACGCCTGAACCGATTTCAGAAATTTAAAAGCCATTTGATGTATTTTGATGAGGACTATCGTTTGTCAGTTTTGTGCGACGATCTGCCAAGCCGTTTCTTTGTAATTTGAAAAAAAGTTTTAAACTTTTCGTCCACATTTAAGCTCATTCTACCGAACCAATTTAAAAAAATCAAAAACTGTTCGAAAGATATTAGTTGGGAATGGTACTGATTAGTTTTAGGTGAAAATCTACCGAGCCGTTTTCTTTTAATTAACTGTTGAAAAAAAATTAAGCCCATTTTTGTGGAACTTTTTTTGGCGATATATATCATTGTCTTATACAACATATTAAAATACTACGGCCTTACGACAAGTAGTTTAATTTAAAAAATTCACCAAAGTGTGAGAAAATGAGTAGATTTTTGACATTTGTTAAAATTAAAATTAGATGATGTACTTGGTATAATGATAGACTACTTGGTCTTAATGAACACACTAAACCATTAACGTCCTATGAAAACTGGTTCAATTATAAAAATTATTAATTTGTGAAAATTTGCTTTTCGAAAATATTCAATTTGCGTTGTCAATTATGTGTAATAAATCCACTCGGAATACTTTCAACCACTTATTAATTAATTCATATTTTATTGATTAAGTCGATTATTTACACATATCGGGAAGTTCATCTAACTTGCCTCAAGGCTAAATACCAATACCAACTAGTTTTATAAAGATTTTAATAACGTGTACACATTTTGTGTCATTTTTTTGGGTTTCGTACCAAGATTTGTATTTTTAAAATTTACGTATATCGTTCAAACAAATATGGTTCCTCGACATTTTCGACATTATGTAATAACCACGATTTGTTATTCAGTTCGTAGGTTCGTACTCGATCGCGAGGTGTCTTTGCAAAAGAAAATTTTGCCTTTCGGAGGTATGGCAGTTTTTGAGAGAACGGATCATCCGATTAAATTAATTCGAATAACATTTTGCTTGAGTAGATGGTGTGCAAAAAACGGTCTTACAGAAAATTTTGCATTTTTGAAAATTATCAAAAAAAAAATCAAAATTTTCAAAAAATTAAAACTTTCGAAATTTTTCATCGTTTTCAAAAAATAAACTAAATTTTGAAAAATTTAAAATAATAATTATAAATATTATAAATATTAATAAAATTTAAAAAAAATCGATTTCTTACAAAAATTTGAGATTATTTCGAAATTTGAAAAAATCGAATATTTAATTAAGAAAAAAAATTTTTTTTTGAAATTTCAAAACAATTCAAACTTCTGAAAAAATTTCAAAATTTTGAAAAAATTTCTGAATTATCAAAAAAATCAAATTTAAAAAAAGAACAAATTTCTTATAAACACATAAGTTGCTTGCGGAATACTCTCGTCGCCCAATTTAATAAGCATTTATACATTTACAGTATGTATTTATAATAAATAAATTATTTGAAATTATTTGAAACAATTATTGATTGTTTTCATATCTCGAATGTTTAATTACGGTACGGGAAGTTCCAGCAATTTGCCTTAAGGTACGATGCCATGCACCCCACTAGTTACATGTGTATATCATAGATTATAAATAAGTATAATATTGCCTATGCTACAAATCATAGATAAAAGAAAAATATACAAATCATAGATAAAAGAAGAGCTACAAATCATATACACAATATACAGTAGAACCCCGTTAAAACGATTATGGTTAATACGATTATCTTTAATATGATTTTTGCATAATACGTATTTTTACGCTGGTTTGTGCACGTTAAAAAATACTTCTATACGCTTAATACGACTTGTCCCGTTTAATACGTGATAGGTACTCAAAAACAAATATCGAAGAAGAGATATCGAAAGTGTTCAATGAAGAATGTTCAATGTGAATCGAAAGTCACAAAAACAAATCAAACTCAGTTAGCTGCTCAGCTTCACTCACCAGTTACTACGTTACGGACCAACGGACTACATATTTTGAAAAATTTAAGAGTTAAAGTATTTTAACTTCTATCAATCTCGAAAACGGCTAAATTGATAGTAGTCACAAAATCTGGTAAAGACCCAAATCTTCCTTCAAGTTACAGACTAATAAGACTCCTATCAATATATATTCAAAATATACGAAAAATTCCTCCTGAAATGAATAAGTCATTGTCTAGAACACATAGAGGCAATACCAAAACACTAATTTGGATTCAAACAAAAACATTCAACCACTGAACAAATACAGACAAAATAATGGATGCACTTCAACAGAATTCTTAGTTCTCGGTCGCATTTGTAGACATAAGCCAAGCGTTTGATAAAGTCTGGCATCCCGGCCTGTTATACAAAGTTAAGAAGATCTTTTTACTGACATTCTCACACTACTAAAATCATATATATCTGAAACATTAAAGATACACATTCTTCACAACATTCGGCAGCTGCTGGTGTCCCGCAGGGAAGTGTTCTCGGACCATTCTCTACTTAATATTTACTGCAGAAATCCCTCAAATTCATATACAATACATCAACATCTACTTCATCTATAAAAGACACTTATGGATATGCCACAGCAATACTTGCAGTACATCAAGACCCATCAAAAGCATCCGCAAAAACACAGATTCAACTGCCAAATATCGAAGAATGGTTGTTACTATGGAGATTCGAAGTCAATTTATTTTACTCTCAAGAAAAATAGGTGTTCTTCAGTTAACCTGTTCAATACTAATATACGCCAATCAAATGTCGCCAAGTACAGTAATACCTCGCCTTACGAGCCTAATTCGTTCAGTAACCACGCTCGCATTTCCTCGTCTCGATAAATTTGTACCAAATTAGCTTATACATAAAGATCAATACAGTACTTATATGCAGGATTTCAGATTCATAGCAATAATTATAAACAGAGAATCGTAAGCCACCCAAATGATAAAATTAAAGAAAATATACAGATTATAAGGCGTGTAGCAAAAAAAAGCAAACAAAAAGTTTGACAAATTGGAAAAGGTTTTAATTGAATTACAGGGGCATACCGCTGCGTGGTAAGCAAGTGATAATCAAAATCTACCAATTTTTCCAGAATCTTTAGAAAATCTGAGTCATTTTCACAGCTATAAATGATTTAATAAATCAGTTTGTTTGAAAAAAAATAATTAAAGAGTGACATATATTTGCGATTATTAAATATTTCTTTTAATTTGTGAGAAACCTTTACACTACGCTTCAGGTTGAATGACTAGGATTCTCAGAAATTGTTTTAACAGGGTTTATTGTATATATTTCTTGTCCTAAGACATGCCATATGATATAGTATACTGTATATTACAATCAAGCTGTATTACTATAATAATCAATTATTGAATCATGCATAAGAAAAATATAGCAATAGACGAATCGTACCAGAAATTGTAATCTGGGAGTAGCATTTTAACTTTATCGTTTATTTATTTATTTTTTACTTAACTCGATAATATATGTTTCAATATGATAATGAAGTTACACCGCTCACGTACCGCGTTTATAAGATTACATATTGATATTTATTACTTTTTTTTATTAATATATGACACATATTTTACGTCAAACAGGGGTGTCTGATATAAGAAATCATGATAAAAATATTTATACATAGTCCATCTTCCCTTTTTAATAATATTTTTTTATTTTTTTTTAATTCATTACTAATCATTTTTGGGTCTCTCATTATATGAGTTTGTTAATATTGCTTTAAGTTTTGTGCTTT